GAAGGCTAAGGTTTTCTGCAAATTTATTGTAGTCAATTGCTTGGTATGTGTTTTGGAGGTAAAGATGTAGACGAGCCAGATTTAGGCAGAATTGGAGGCAATTTTCAGGTTTGTAAAGGGGATAGTTGCTGAAGAGGCGAAGATCTCAGATAGTTAAGTTTAGTGAAAAGGATTTAGCTAAAATTTTTTAAAAGTATCTTCTAGTATGTTAAAGGAAATGGTTGCTTGCTTGTTGATTGAAGAGTTAATTTGAAAGATATAGTTGGTAAGGAAGTCTGGTCTTTCTCCTACCATGCAACAAATGATATGGTAGAAGCTTGCTTTGAGAGGTTGTTTGTTGAGTGTTGCTGCTTTAAGTGTAGAGCCTGGGTAGAAGTTGTAAAGGTGTTTTTTAAGTAAATTATATAGGTGTTGAGAAAAGAGAGTTTGTAGTATGGTGTTAGGTTTCATATCTTCTGTGATTGGGAAGTTGGAGAACTAGTCGAAGGTTGGGCTAGGTTTGACTTGTTTGGTTTGGTTTTTGTCCGAGGGGTATTGGTTGAGGTTTTTTGTACAATTGACAAGTAAGTTTTATGAGTGGTGTTCTTGTTGGATTGGGTGGTTTCTGGGAGTAAAGTTTCAGTAGTTGGGATTTTGTAGAGAGAAGAGATGTTATTATTAACTTCGGTGCTGAGTGATGAAATTTTGAAGAATATCACTGTCGATTTCCATAGAGGCGGAGGTAGAGATAGATTTTGCTTTGTCTGAAGTTGTAGTAGTAAGAGGTTTAAGAGTTTGGGAGAGTGGGTTTATGGTTGATTGTTTAGAGGATTGTGTATGTTTTGATTTGTCATCTAAGGCTTATTGGAAAAGAGGAGTTAAATCTTTCCTGGTTGAGTCTACGATAGTTGTCTGGGTGTTTTAGAAGAAGATGCGAGTGAGTTTGCACAGTTGGTGTGATAGACTTCTTCATTGATTAGTTGGTAGTTTTCAAGTAATTGTTAAGCTACATTGTGGATATTGGTGATGACATGTTTGAGAAGTAGGAGAAGGTGAGATATTTTCAGTGGTATTAGAAATTTGGTTAATAAGTGTAGCAGTTTTGTCGAGATCTTGTGAGTTTGCACTTTTTTCTGTTCTAATTATAAAAAAATCTGTATAGAGTTGGTAAATATTATTAAGGTTGGAGACAAACTTGGTATAATATTTGTTGTATAAGCATTTAACGGTAGCAGTAGAGGGAGGTGCAAGAAAGAAATGTGTCATTTTGTTAGTTGCTCTAGTAGTTTTAGTAAGACAAGTTGATGGGGCTTGTGTAGGGGGGATCAGTCTCATATGACTTTTTCCCTCACCCTCGAAGAGTGCAATACTATAACTGTTTTTACATTTCGAGTAAAAATAGTCAAGATCTAAGGTATCAGCTAGTTTACTAATAAGAGTTGGCATTGTATCTTGGAAATCATAAAATTTTGAATTATTCTGTCCTATGACAACACTACGTGAAGTAGGCATAAAAATCTATATAAACTTCCAAGTAAGTACACGATAAGATTCAGGAAAAAAAAAAGCAAGCCTGGAAAAAATGATTGAAATAGCATTAGAAAACATCTATATCCAATCATTAATTATAGGATTAATCTTAGTAGTAGTTTATTTCAAACTATCAAGACGAGCTAAATTAGTAAGTTTTTCTCATATAATATTTATTCGTAATTATATTATTAATGCAAATGTTAATTTTCTTAGAATGAACCACCACTTGCTTATTATCGATTTCCATTTATCGGACATACATGGAGTTTTTTAACGAACTGCGAAAAGTTAATTTCAGAATCTCGAGAAAAGGTTTTTATTTTATCTTATTTTTTTTTTAAAAAAAAAATAATAAATAAATATTTCTTTCATGATTTAATAAATTATAATCTCTTAATAATAGTATGGAGAGACATTTTCCTTATATGTATATGGTCAAATAATAACCGTAGTCGGAAAGGAATCAACTTATGAAGTATTAACAAAACATCAATTGTTTAGTTTTAAAGAGGTAATTGAGAAATCTTTAGCGAATGCAATAGTCCTTTGGATATTATATTACCATACATTCTAAAATGGGTTTTCAATTTTAAAAACAGCAAGTACCGACAATTCACATACTTAATCACGTCGATTTAAGTAAAAATCATAGATTAATAAGGGACTTTATCACAGGGAAATTAAAATATCTTTTAAATAGATTACAAAAAAACATTGTTAAGGCCATAGATATTTATATTGGTGATTGTGCTGGTAAGCTTTCAGGCTTTTAACTTATAAGTTTCTTATGAAAGATTTAAAAATAATTCTTTATTAATTATTAGAACCGAGGGTTATTCATGAACCATCTAAAACTATATCAGATATTATAGCAATTCCAATTGCTAGTATTATTGTCGGTGAAGTATGTATATGTATTATTTTTTTTATATAAAAATTCTTGCCATTAATTTAATTACCTTTTAATAAAAAAATTAGGATTGCTGCAATCATGAAGATTTATTGGAAGCTTTTAAAAGCGTAACGGCTTCAATTTGAAATTCTTTCTTCTTGTACCACCAATATTATCCTTTAAATACCCCTGGCTTCATAAACAATTTGTCACGTAAAGTTTATTTCATTTTACCTTTACTTTTTTTTAATTTTAAGCTTTACTTAATTGTTATTGCTTTACTTAATTGTTACTGTCTAACAGAATTCCTTTAAGGTTTGGTCGGAGTCCGATTTCAAAATATAGAAAAATAGTAATCAGTCGTATTAAGCCGGTCATCGAAAAACGTCTCAATGATAAAAAGAGATTAAGGGATGCTTGGGTTGCTACAGTAAGTTATTTATAAATATATATATTATTACGTAATTATATTATTTAACTATTTTTTATTTTTATTTTTTTAAAAAAAAACAGTTAGATGCATTACAATGTTACTTAGATGATCCAGAAATTTTTTGCTGCTTTAGGAACTACAAATTCTAGTGCTACTCGTACTTTCTTTGGTTAGTTATATTCAGTTTTTTTTATTATAATGTACTTTAATTTTATTTTAATCATATTTGTTTGAATATTATATTTAGTAAAAAAGAAAACACCAATATTGGCAAGAATTATATCAAGAGGCTCAGGAAATTAATAAACAGTGTAATGGATATGAGCTTACATCTGATGATATCTCCAAAATGGTGAAGTTGGATAATTTTATTAAAGAATCTTTAAGAGTTGCTAAAGCTATAATTAGGTTGCCGCATAAATGTATTTCTAAGCCTTATTATACGTTTGCGAATGGATACCAAGTCCCATATGGTATTATTTTTTTTCTTTTTTGGTATTCTTTTAATTTCAAATAATAACAATTCTCATGTACATTCCTAATTATTTAAAATTATAGGTCGCGTAGTCTATCTAAACGTTGTTGACACACATCATGATGAAGAGCTTCAAGGTCAAAATCCTACAGAACTCTATGCGTATCGTCATGATTCTCCTGCAACAAAAGTCGAACGTAAGTATTTGGTATTTGGACTCGGAAAACATGCATGTCCGGGTAGATCTCTAGCTGTTAATGAGATTAAAATGTTATTACATAAACTTATACTAAAATATGACATTAAAAGCAAAACTATTAAGCCTATAAAAGGTAGTATGGTGTTTGAGAATAGAAAGGAGGAGGTTGTAAATTAAGAGTTATAACATTATGTTCTGAAGATAAATTGGTACAGAGAATACAAAAGCAGATCTTAATATTTTTCTTTTTTCAATATATTTTTTTTCTTTGGCAGTATTGAATATAATAAATATATACAAATTAAATATTTTAAATGTTACATTTATATTTAACTTATCTAAGACTGCTTGTGGATTATTTGGGATCTTTGCTAGGAAAATCACCCTTTGAGATTTTCCGATGGGCTAATATAGAAAAGTTTAGGCCAGAATGCCACTTCTTATTCATATGTAATCACCTTTTGCTTTATTGATTCGATAGTTTATTAAATAAACTGTTGAACAATAAAGTAAAAAAATTATTTACATATCAATAAGAACCGGCATTCTGGTTTAAGCTTTTTCGAATTAGCCTGATCGGAAAATTCCGAAGGGTGATTTTCTTAGCAAAGATCCCATTGAATAATAGAGAAAGAGAAGTAACTCTTCTATGAAATACATAATGTCCTAAATAAAAACTCAGCTATACTTGTTATATTTAAATTAAATTATATAAAATATGTATTTATATAACATGTCTTAGAAAGGTGCTACAATATCTAATCCTAAAAGAATCTGCAATAAAACTATAACGCTAGTATATAATGAGCTGTCGAGATCTTGAATTTTCAAAATTTAAATTGGATCCATACTTAGTTCATTCAACCTCACACTATTATTTGTAATAACTTTTAATGCAATAAACTGTGGTCCTTTTCTTTTAATGATATGTCTAATAATATTTCTATTTTCGATTTCTCCATCCAACCATTCTGCTTTATAAATAACACTAAAACCACCTCTAGTCAAATACTCAATATTTTGAATTCTTTCCTTGGGAATATACTCAAAAAAACAATTCAACATCCTTTGAATATTCTTTTGCAACATATAGAATAGAATAGAATAGGATGTTTTACTGTCATGTTCATCTCTCTTATTTTTTGGCTGAAATAAGTAGCCAAATATATCTTTTGATAATTCTAAAATATAAATATCTAATGCAAATGAACGACACCAATTTTCATAATCATATTCACATTTACAACGCGGGCATTTTCCGTATCTCTTAATGGGCTTCTTTATGCCTTTTAATAATCTGGTCATTTGTTAATTCTATTGTGATTGGTTTGCAAATGTATATATTATTTCTTTTATATATATAGCATGTTTATTTTTGATCGATTTTAAGAATTTCTCACTATTAAAAAGAAAAAGAAACGTTTTGTAAAATGAATCATTATAATAGGTAGCTTAATTATACTAAGTAAAGATGGTGATCGATCAAACAATATCTAATTACTCAATCTTATTGTTCACTAAACTTTTTGTAATACACTCAATCGTGAGAAAATAGAATACTTTAATTGTTAAATTTAATTCAAAACACCATCCTATTCTAAAGATATGAAAAAAAATGACCGAACATGATCGATCACTCGTGAAAAATGACTATAGTTTATATTCATTTTAATCTTCTACGTCTTTTTTTTTCTATAATAGATTTATGCATACAATTATTTTCTGTCGTATCTAAAGTTACTATCTATCTGAAGTTGCAACTTTAGATATATAAAGTTGCACCTAATGTGCCTATGACGTGACCGAAGGGCACGTCATAACACGGTGTCTGCTGTGAAGAAATCAGTGATTATCATTAATAACATGATCAATAACTACATTATTGTACATTTCTGACGTAAGCACCTAGCCATTTTCTGCATCTTATTGGGTCATTTTTAAACGTAATACACAAATTTTGTTCACCTCTGATAGGAGGTGAACAAAGTTAGTGTCATGTATTAGAATTGACCCAATAGCATGCATGAAAATGGCTAGGTACTCACATAAGAAGTGTACAATAAAGCTACTTTTTTGGTGCTTATCAAAAATGTGAATCACGTTATTAAATGTTTACAGTGCCTAGTACCAACAGAAAATTTATTATAAACTTTTAATACTATATTTCAAAAAAAAAAAAGAAAGAAAAAAAACAATAATATAACAAACATTAAATTTTTCATGATTCTAAATTAAATAATGAAATTTGAAAATTTAGTAATCTGTTAAAATACTGAGTATTCTGCGTTTTGAATAGAAATTTTTTCGAGGCAAAAGCTATTTTCTTATGACTTGATAAACTAAGCTAGGATCCAACTTATATATTATTATTATTTGTACTCCTTTAATACTTTTAGAGAAAATAGTATTGCAGTACTGTACAAAAGAAATTATGGAAACTTTTAATCTTCTATCACAAAATTCTTTTAAAAACGAAAGAGATATTTTAATGTACAAATCAACCTGCATTCGCAACATATCTAAAAATCTATCAAACTGCAATTATTTTTTCGTCCATTGTTCAATACGTTTTTAAGAGATAGTTCACATTACCTGCATTACCTGTTATACTTCATTTGTAATGCTAAGTTCTTGGGGTTTACGGAGTCAAGGGATATTTGTCAAGTCAAAAAACTAACAAAGAATATTAAAGTAAATAAGTTTTGATAATTTTCCTCGAGTAAAACTTTTTTCACAGACTATATAAGAAGAATTTTTAGTAAACACAATGCTTTTGAATTAAAATAAATATTTATACAAGGGAGTACCACAGGTTACCGAAGGATCCATTTATTACAGTGTAAATAGACTGTTCGATAACCTGCGGTATCTTCACAATTCTTGTGATAACCACAATTCTTTTATTAAAATAATTTATACAGTACATATATGCAGGTTTTGTCAAAAAATAAAAAACAAAATATGATGAGATATACAATGCTTTTAATAACTTTTAGAGAAATAACATTGCAGTACTGTACAAAAAAATTGTGATGGTTTTTTCTTTCATTGTACGTACGCACATATGTACATACTTTGTTATATTCTTTATTTCGCTATGATAAAGGTGTGGAAACTTTTAATCTTCTTTCACAAAATACTTACTAAAAAACAAAAGGAGATATTTTAATGCACATATCCGAAACTGTAACTATTTATACGTTTTTAAGAGATAGTTCACATTACCTACATTATTCGCTATACTTCAATTGTAACGCTAAGTTCTTGGGGTTTACAGAGCCAAGGGATATTTGTCAAGTCAAAAACTCAAATAATATTAACGTAGATAATTTTTAATAATTTTCCTCGAGTAAAAAATATATTCTTATACGCTCATAGGTGTTGATTAATAAAGTATTTTTTTTTCGCAGACTAAATAAGAATCTTCAATAAACACAATGCTTTTGAATTATTTTAATTAAAATAGATATTTATACATATATGTTGGACACTTAGGTGCAGCTTCTGTCGAAAAAATAAAGAAATAAAGTGATAATACAGTAATATAATTATCACATTTATACATATATGTTGGACACTTAGGTGCAGCTTTTGTCAAAAAATAAAGAAATAATGTGATGATACAGTAATATAATTATCACATTTATACATATATGTTGGACACTTAGGCGCAGCTTATGTCAAAAAATAAAGAAATAATGTGATAATCAGTAACATAATTATCACATTTATACAGCTCATTGTAAAATGGTAATTTTATATATGCTTACAGTATATTTGTATTTTAGTATTTTGTATTTATAATAATATATAGTTATTGGATGCGAAGCAGCCAATAACGAGAATTATTTGTAAAATAATTCATTATCTGGCTGTGAA